CTTTCCGACATCTTCCAACATTGTTGCACGGGGTACAATCACTATGACGTCAATATAACCCATCTTGAGTCCGAGCTCACTCTCTAGCTGCACAAGTCCATTCACCCCTCGTGGATTTCAATTAGATGTGCGGCAACATCCTTCCAATTCAAAATTATGTTGTATCCTTCTTCATTTCAAGTAGCTCATTTCCGTTATATCAAATCTCTTGTTGCATCATAGCCCATGCTCCAAATTAAATCCGTAGGCCCCAATCACCAATCTCTATAATTCCCAAATCATTCCAAACTCTCCTCAAGGTGCGTGGTCATCCTACCACCAAGACCATATGCAACTCCGCCACTCTCCCACTTTGGCGGAACTCACCCCTTTAATCAACTACTAATTTTAAACCTCTCTAAAGATCATTTTTCTCGAGCCGTCAGCATTAGAAACACCGATTCAATCCAGAACCACCGTACCCCATGATATCTAACAATCGTTTCTTCAATATTATTTCACAATATCTTACCCCAAAGGCGAATTGCAGAAGACCATAACACCGGCAAACTTAACACATTCAATTGCGGACGACGACACCACATCGCAGATGAAAATCCCGTCACGCTTGAAATCACAAAATCTTGTTACTCCATCACTCCAAATCTGGACGTCCCTAGGCCAATGGCTTTTCCTTTGCCGGAAATGAAATATCAGATCTCTGAATCGTGCACTGAGTAGGCTTCCTTTCAAATCATTCACCGCCCAAACACATAGGCAAGTATCCTACCATCAAGTCATTATTGTGCGATAACCAATCGTGAGCATCATAGAAACCTGTGCATAGCCTCTAAACTCTTAGAAGTACAACTACCGAGCCAAAACAATAGAAAAATCCTTCCGCAAGGAGACGACAATAGCCCAACCAACTATACTGGGAGAAATATCCTGCACCACATTTGTAGTACCATTACAATTCTTAAATTCTCTATTTATAACAGGCGGTTCAAGCTGCGTAAGATTGAGTAGGAAGGAAACAAAGGCATAAGCCCCAAGGGATCAAATCGCATGATGAGGAATCAAGAAGGGAGATGCTCCTAACAGTCCTGTAGCCTCTCGAAGATAAGTACAGACATCTCTATACCGATCCGCGAGACTCTACTAGACTTACTCATGACTCGTGAGACCTAGGGGAACCTAGTGCTCTGATACCATATTGTCACGACCCAAAATCCACCAAGGGTCACGATGGCACCGGACACCACTGTCAGGCAAGCCAACCACAATTTACTAGCAATTTCTCGTTTTAATTATTTTGAAATCATTTCCTTTAAAGAAATAAATAATAAATAATAAACTCCACTAGATAAATGAGGATGTCTTTACAAAGTTTAACTACTGAGAAATCCCGTGATCATCCCAGAACCTGGTGTCACAAGTACATGAGCAATTTCTAGGAAATAATATAGTACAACAACCGTCCGGAACACAATTTTGGATATAGAGTAAATACAATAATTTGAAAGAGACTCTGCTGGCTGCGGGTCATCTCGGGAAGTGCAACTTACCTAAGTCTTCGTATCAACCATGCCGCTACTCCCACTAGGCCACTAGAGATGCAGGTGCCTGTGCAACAAAAATGCACAGCAAGTGTAGTATGAGTACAAAAATAACGTGTACCCAATGAGTATCCCATCTAATCTCAAAGAAGTAGAGACGAGAGGTCGACTTCGACACTTACTAGTGGTCCAATGATAATATAGTAAAAGTATGAGAATTCATGGATTTCATAAGCAAAATTAAAATCATAAAGCCGGAAAACAGGTAAACAACTTTTCAAATAATAAGGATTTCTAAAGATTTACTTTTCATTATCTTTATCGATTTATCTCTGGCCAGGAAAGGCAATTATCAATATTTAAAATTCTCACGCAAGCAATACAAGCATGCGCATATCATGCCAAGGTCGTACGGCCCGATCCAACAGAAATGTAAAATGTGCATTGCCGAGGGTCGAACGGCGCAAACCATAGATGCATCTATTACCCCACTCGCGAATCATACATGCGACGCGGTCAAATTTAAATAAACAATCACCCTGCTCGTGAATCATACATGCGACGCAAGTACACATAGAAATACATGCTCAAACAGCCCATTAAGAATTTGTCCGGGAACATTTATCCAGATAAAAGTCAATTCTCTTTTAACGATTTAAGAAAGTGGAGTTTAATCATTTTAGAAATTCATTTAGCAATTCGATAGGATTTAAGGAAATCAACTGTCAATAAGATTACAGATACTCCAAGTATAGCATGCTTTTGGGTCCTAGACTACCCAAACTTACACATATTAGTAGCTACGAACTGAATCTCGTCACCTCATGCGTACGTAGCCCCCACAAATAGGAGCACATAACCAATTATTTCACTTATGGGGACAATTCCCTCTTACAAGGTTAGAAAGGAGACTCACCTTGCTCCGAAGATCCATAACCGGCATTCCACGCTTTTTCGAAGACTTGAATCGATGCACAATGCTCCAAAACTAGCCAATAATTATGCAAATACATTAATATATGTTCAATTACTCATTACAATCCAATTTATAACAATTCCTAACCCCAATTGAAAAGTTAACAAAATTGCCCTCGGGCCCACGTGCCCGGATTCCAAAAAATTTCAAAGATAAAGTTTACCCATGAACTCACGATCTCAAATATATGATTTTCTCTTAATTTCTTACCCAAAATCGTGGTCAAATTCCAAGAACACAAATTTTCTAGGTTTCCCCTCAAACCCCAAGTTTTTACCAAATTTTCATGCTCAAATCCGCACATAATCAATGTATTTAACTCAACATAGGTGGGTTAGCTTACCTTGTCGTTGATTATGAAAAACCCCATTTGAAGCTCCCCAAAATCGTCCACACCAAATGAAAAATGGGGGAAAATGACCAATCCCCCAATTTTTTAAAGATTTTACTGCCTCCAGCACTTCCGCACCTGCAGTCACCCGACCGCTTCTGCTGTTCCGCAGGTGCGGCCCCACTACCGCATATGCGGTCCTTCCTAGGCCCCCTTATTTCCGCTTCTGTACTCCTTCTTCCGTAGATGCGGTCCCGCTTCTACGGCGAGTTGACCGCATCTGCAGTCCTAGTCTTATCCTTTCTTCACTGCATATGCGCTCCTTTGTCCCCTTTTATGGCTTCGCACCTACGGCCAAATCTTCGCAGGTGCGGTTATACCAGATATCAACTGCTTCAGCATATTTTCCAAATTCTAATTTGATGCGTTAACCATCCGGAATCCACCCGAGGCCCCCAGAACCCCATCCAATCATACCAACATTCCCATAACACATTACAGACTTGCTTAATGTCTCAAATCATATCAAACATCGCTAAAATCATGAATCGACCTTCAATCCAAGCTTAATGAACTTTAGAACTTCAAACTTCTACATTCGATGCCGAAGCCCATCAAATCATGTCCAATTGACCTCAAATTTTGTACACAAGTCATATTCGACATTAGGGACCTACTCCAACTTCCGGAATCGAAATCCGACCCCAATATCAAAAAGTCTACACTCGGTCAAACTTCCCAAAACCTTCAAATTTCTATCTTTAGCCAAATGACTCCAAAATGACCTACGGACCTCCGTATTCACTTTCGATTGCGCTCCCAATACCAGAATTACCATACGAAACTATTCCCAGACTCGGAATCCCAAACGGACATCGATAACACTGAAATGCACTTCAACCCAAACTTATGAAATTTCTTCCAAATACTAACTTCCACAATAGGCGCCAAAACGTTCCCGGGTCTTCCAAAATCCGATCCGGACACACGCCCCAGTTCGAAATCATCATACGAACCTGCTAGAACCTTCGAATCCTGATTCCGAGGTCGTTTACTCAAAAATCCAATCTTAGTCAATTATTTCAACTTAAAGCTTCCGAAATGAGAATATTCTTTCCAAATCAACTCCGAACTTCCCGGAATTCAATTCCGACCGAGCACAAAAGTCATAATACCTGAAGTGAAGCTGCACATGGCCTCAAACTACTGAATGATGCGCTAGAGCTCAAAATGACTGGTTGAGTCGTTATGAGAAATGTAATTGATGCGGCATCAGGAGGATCAATAATGGGAAAAACCATTGTAGAAGCAATGCAACTACTTAATGAAATTTCGGAAAATGCCATTCAATGACCCTCGGACAGAATGATTAGCAAGAAAATAGCAGGAGTAAATCAAATTGAAGCTTTGAATTCATTAGCACAACAAATTGCGACCTTAACACAAAAAGTCGAAGCTTTTCAGGTAAGTGCTCAATCATCATCCCAACTTGAGAATTGTGATGTTTGTAAAGGTAATCATCCGAATCATGAATGTCAAGCTTTAACGCAAAATGAGGAACAGGTAAATGTGATTGGTTATAGAAATAATTGCTCATTTGGTAGTCTCATGGCACAAAAACATCCAGGATTTCAGTGGAGTAATCCCGATGGTGCTGAAAATCCTCAAAAAAATTTTAATCAGAAGCAGCATGTACAGGGACCACCTGGTTTTCAAAATCAAAATAGAGGGAAACAAAATTTTCAACAATATCAGCAACAGCCTCAAAGAGCTCATCAACAAAACCTTGAAGACCTGATGTACAAATTCATTAAGGCTACTAACGAGAAAGTTGAAAGTCAACATTCAGCTATCAAGAATTTGGAAATTCAGGTAAGCCAATTAGCAACCCTCATGTCTGGACAAATTCAAGGTGCTCCACCAAGAAACACTGAGAAAAACCCAAAAGAATACCGCAAAGCCATCTCTCTACGATCAGGTAAATCTCTTGATGATCCATATGTAGATAGAGAAGGAAAGCCATAAGAAGTGAAAAAGGTAAATGAAGGCGAGAATAAAATAGAATCTAAGTTTCCAAAAGAATAAAGGGAAAAATGTACAAGAAAATAAATTGATAAAAAATCCTCACTTTGTACCTCTCCCTTTTCCCCAAAAGATGAAAAGAGAAAAGCTTGACAAACAGTTTTCAAAGTTTCTAGATATTTTGAAGCAACTTTACATTAACATACCTTTCACAGATGCTTTAACACAAATGCCTTCATATGCTAAATTTCTTAAAGAAATTCTGTCAAGTAAAAGAAAATGGGTAGAAGTTTTAGTGGTTAAGCTTACGGAAAAAAAAAAGTGCTATACTTTAAAATAAGCTCCCACAGAAATTTGGTGATCCAGGAAGTTTAACGATTCCTTGTACCGTGGGAGGTACTCACTTTGAAAAGGCGTTATGTGATTCAAATGCTTCAATAAATCTAATGCCTTTTTCAATTTTCAGGAAATTAGAACTTGGTAAAATGAAAGATGCTGATGTGTCTCTTCAATTAGCTGATCAAAGTACTAAGAGACCAAAAGGAACTATTTAAAATTTCCTTGTCAAAGTTGCCAAATTTGTATTCCCAGTAGATTTTATAGTGCTTGAAATGGAAGTAAATACTGAGGTACCATTAATTTTAGGTAGACCATTTCTCACAACAGGAAGGGCAATTATTGATGTCCATAAAGGACAATTAATATTGCGAGTTGATGAGGAAAGAGTAATTTTTGACATGCAGAAAATGATGAAATTTCCTGGGGATGAGTCATCATCATCTTGTTTTCAAATTGACTTACTAGATGACCTTATAGATAAATACAAAGATAATCAATTAATTACTAATTCATTGGAGAGATGTTTGGCTAGGTCAGGTACCATAAGTGATGATAACCCCGTAATTAGAGAACAAGCTGAAATACTAGAAAAAGAGTCAGAAAATTAGAAAGTCTCACAAGAAGGAGTTCAATTAAAAATTGAACTCAAAGAACTTCCTTCTCATTTAAAATATGTATTTCTTGAACCTGAATTATTTCCAGTAATCATTTCATCTTCTTTGACTATAGAACAGGAAAGCAAACTGATTGGAGTCCTGAGAAAACACAAAAGAGCCTTAGGGTGGACTATAGCTGATATCAAAGGAATCAGTCCAGCTATTTGTATGCACGGGATTCTTATGGATAATGATTATAAGCCAATAGTTCAACCCTAAAGGAGACTAAACCCAGCATTGTAGGAAGTCGTCAAGAAAGAAGTGGTGAAACTTCTAGCAACAGGTATCATTTATCCAATATCTGACAGTCCTTGGGTAAGTCCTGTACAGGTAGTTCCAGAGAAAGGAGGTATGACAGTAATAAAAATGAAAATAATGAATTCATACCTACTAGAACAATCACAGGATGGAGAGTCGATATTGATTACAGACGACTTAATAATGCCACAAGGAAAGATCATTTTCCTTTGCCCTTTATTGACCAAATGCTTGAAAGAGTTGCAGGCCATGACTTTTACTATTTTCTTTACGGATATTCTGGGTATAATCAGATACCAATTGCTCCATAATATCAAGATAAAACCACATTAACATGCCCCAAGGTACGTATTCTTACCAAAGAATGCCATTTGGACTATGCAATGCTCCTGCTACATTTCAGCGTTGCATGTCGGCAATTTTCTCAGATATGACTGAAAAGTTTCTTGAAATATTTATGGATGATTTCATAATTATTGGTAAGACATTTGAAGATTGTATCTATCATTTGACTTTGGTGCTTAAAAGATGAGAAGAGACAAATTTAGTTCTTAATTGGGAAAAATATCACTTCATGGTAACAGAGGAAATTGTTTTAGTACATAAAATTTCTGCTAAAGGGATAGAAGTTGATAAGGCTAAAATTGATCTTATAGCAGGATTACCCCCTCCTACCACTGTTAAAGGCATTAGAAGTTTCTTAGGGCATGCAGGTTTTTATAGAAGGTTTATAAAAGATTTTTCAAAAATTTTAAAACCTCTGACTAACCTACTAATGAAAGATGTGAAGTTTGAATTTTCATATGATTGCAGAAAAGCATTTAAGATTCTCAAGGAACATTTGACTAATTCTCCAATTGTTGTTTCTCCTTATTGGAGCAAATCATTTGAAATAATGTGTGATTCAAGTGATATAGCAGTTGGAGCGATATTGGGACAAAAGAGAGACAAGATTTTTAGGCATATTTACTATGCCAGTAGAACCCTCAATAAAGCTCAAAAGAATTATGCTATAACTGAGAAGGAACTACTAGCAGTAGTATTTGCGTTTGACAAATTTCATTCCTATTTGATAGGAACAAAGGTTACAATTTATACTGATCATGCAGCTTTAAAGTACCTTTTAGCAAAGAAAGATGCTAGACCCAGATTGCTAAGATGGATACTCCCTTTACAAGAATTCAATCTTAAAAGAAAAGATCGAAAAGGTTCTGAAAATCAGGTAGCTGATCATTTGTCTCGTTTGGAAAATCCTCTAACTGAGATAGAAGATATCAAAGAGGGATTTCTCGATAAACATATATTTTCAGTCACAACCGTTATAAATCGACCACCTTGGTTTGCTGATATTGCCAACTATTTAGCTGGAGGATGGATTCCAAAAGACTTTTCTTATGAACAAAAGAAAAAAAAAACTTAAAAAAGAAGCAAGACATTATTATTGGGAAGATCCTTACTTGTTTAAATTTTTTTGTAAATGACTTAATCAGGAGATGTGTACTAGAGACAGAAATGAACAACATCTTAAGTAACTGCCATGATGGGGCTGCAGGAGGACACTATGGAGGAAGAAAGACAGCAGCTAAAGTACTTGAAGTTGGATTTTTCTGGCCTACTCTATTTAAAGATGCAAAGAATTATGTCACCACTTGCGATAAATGCCATTGAATCGGTAACATTTCAAAAAAGGACGAAATTCCTCTTAACTCTATTTTCCTGTGTGAAATCTTTGATGTTTGGGGAATTAATATTATGGGTCCTTTTCCTCCTTCAAATGGCTATGAATATATCTTAGTAGTTGTTGACTATGTTTCAAAATGGGTAGAAGCAATTGCTACTAGAAAAAATGATGCTCATATTGTTTGTGCTTTTCTCAAGAAAAATATTTTTTCTAGATTTGGAACTCCACGAGTTATAATAAGTGATCAAGGAACTCATTTTATAAATAGACAATTTTTTAGTTTGTTGTTAAAGTATGAAGTAACTCATAAAACGGGAACTCCATATCATGCTCAAACAAGCGGGGCAGGTAGAAGCTTCCAATAGAGAATTAAAAAGAATTTTAGAAAAAATTGTTGGTTCTTCTCGAAAAGATTGGTCTTTAAAATTGGATGATGCGTTATGGGCATACAGAACTGCTTATAAAACTCCCATAGGCACATCTCCTTATAGACTAATTTTTGGGAAAGCTTGTCATTTACCTGTGGAATTAGAATATAAAGCATATTGGGCTATAAAATTGTTGAATCTAAACTTACCAGATGCAGGTAAAAATCATCTATTGCATCTTGATGAGTTGGAAGAGTTCAGACTTACAACATACAAAAATGCTAAATTATACAAGGAAAAGACAAAAAAGTGGCATGACAAGCTCATCCGCCATAAAGATTTTAAAGTTGGAGATCATGTTCTGTTGTACAATAGCTGATTAAGATTATTCCCAGGAAAGTTTAAGTCACACTGGATAGGACCATATACAACAAAAGGAGTGACCCCCTATGGTGCCATTGAAGTACAACATGCAGATGGGGGAGACAAACTCAAAGTAAACGGTCATCGTTTGAAGCCTTATATCAGCAGATTCTTCGACAAACAGGCTTCAACAATCCTTTTTACCTAATATTTAAAATAAGTCGAGCTGACGACGTTAAACTCAGAATTATTCTCTTCCCCTCTCTTTAATCTTTAAAGTAAGTATTAGCAGTAATATTTCCTTTTTAGTAAATATGTATAATAAAATTAGTTTTTTTTCTTATATAAAAAAAGTAAAAAATAATAATAATAATAATTATTATTATTGCATGTTTTTGTATTTATATATATATATATATATATATATATATATATGTGTGTGTGTGTGTGTGTGTGTGTGTGTGTGTGTGTGTGTGTGTGTGTGTGTGTAGAATGTATTAATACATTTTGCCATGATAAAAAAGCACTCTCATGATTGAGACAATGAAAGTTTTCTCATGTCATGAAAAAGAATATTTTCTTTACCATAATCTTGTCTTTATTATATGAGAGAAACCTTGAGAAGCCAAGAAAAAGGAAATGAGGCCAGAATCGAAAAAATTAGGGAAGCTCCTTTATCTCCTTTTACTTTTAATTTATTTGTCATGAGGACAGGACATTATTTAAGCTTGGGGGTAGATGAATATGTTTGTTATATGTGTGTTTCTTTTAAGTTTTTTTCTGTTAAATATTAAAAAAATGTATATTTTACAGCTGAAAAATGTGCTTTTAGTAAAATTACAAAATTTAAAAAATAAAAATAAACTAAAGAAAAAAATTTAGTTGCCTTATTCTTAAGGAAATTTATTTCATATACTTCCATGGATTTCTTGTTCAGTTCTTTGCCATGGTTGTAATATTTTGAACTGAATATTTTTTAGGACTTTTAGTTGTTTTAACTTATTTTGGTAAATAAGTTGGCTAAACTTGATTTGACTTGAAAAGCATAAGATTTAGAAAAGATGAATTTGATTAAGTACCATTCACGGGGTTTATGATCGATTTTCTAAGCTCATACGTACTTATTGGTGATTGAAATCATAGTTTTCGTTAGCCTAAGTGTATTGTGTTGTTAGCTTATATTGTCTAGTTCTCCTGCTTATCTGGAAATCTAGAACTTGCCTTGAATGTGGATTGAGGCGAAATTCTAGGTAGATCTTTGAGTTAAGAAATGAACGTAGGCCTTCTTTGTTGAGACATAACCTAAATTGACCTACCTTAATGATTTTTATCCCTAGTTAGCCCAGTTGAGTCTAAATAAATTATCTCTTATTTTGTTGATCACCAAGCTTTAACCCTTAGCCTATTTGTTATTATGACTTGTTCTTTATTCACCCAATTCCCTTTTGGGCACCTTAAGAGTTGATCTAAATGTAAAACTCTAGGCGTGAGGTGTAATTGTGAAAATAATTGGTGAAAGAATAATTATTTGAGGTTGTCAATCTTTTGAGATATTGCCATGAGAACTGAAAAAGATAGTTGCTTCTGAAATTCTTAAAAAAAAAAGAAGGGAGAGGATAGCAACAAAGAAATGTCGGCATCTCCATCAAAAAAATATGAAAGGGATGAAACAAAATAGAGGTTATTATTTAAATCAGAGCAAAGACAATTGTGCTTAAGTGATAAATAAAGTGTAGTTCCCATAGGGAATTTAAGTCACTATTATCCATATGTATCATACCTATCCCTGAACCTACATTACAACCTTGCAAAAGTCCTACATGATCTCGACTCAAAAACTCCTACATTAGTGGAGAACCACATAATAGTCAAGCATATGGCAATTTCCAATAGCTTGAGGTACTTCTTTGTTGAGAGTGAGTGAAATTTTCTATCTATGCCCTTCTTTGTTCTACATCTATATATTGTATGATATATGGGCATCTCTCTTCATTTGGTGAGACACACTAGGGATTAAGAAATATTATGATTTCAGTTCTCAATAGGTGAATATGAGTACGGTTAAAAGTTGTATGAACTTGTGGATTAGTCTTAGTTACTTTTCTTTGGTGAAAGTTCTCATGATTTTGGTTAAATTATTTAGCTGTTATGTTTAGTTATTTTATTTGCTCGAGGACGAGCAAATATTTAAGTGTGAGAGAATTTGATAAAATAAAATTTCATGTATAAATTAAGCTGTTATTTAATTTTTAGATACTAATATTTTAATTTTCTTTGCAGAAAATATCATAATTTAATAAGAAAATTCATAGTTCATCAATGAAGGAGATATCAGATAAGAAAAGTTCAAATACTGAATTATTCGAAGAAAGATTGTATAAATGTGATCTACCATGACAAAGGATAACCGACTCACAACGGGCTAACAACCGATCCATAACTAACTTACAACAGAAGATCATAACCAAGCATAACAAGGCCACAACCAGCCATGACAAGTTCATATCCAGAAGAGAATTGAAAACTTTGTCATGGCTTGCCTATAAAAAGAGGCATCGTTCGTGAAATGAGAGGGAGCGAAAAAGAAATCTTAGAAGTGTAATATTGGGCAGAAAGCTTTTCCTTTCTCTTTGTTCTTTAGTTTCGCTTCTTTTTCATCTTTTAGACATTACTCTGGCTTCATTTCTTGTTCCGAATAAATTGTAGTATTGGAAATTACTCTAGTTCCTGTTTTTAATTAAATAGGAAGAATTATTCTCTTGAATATTTCTTTCTATTTTCTTATTTAATGGGCAAGATTACTTCCGTTTTCGGTATTGGCTCCAATATGGAGTAACTTTTCTTGTGTTGGAAAAATAACGGATCTTAATATTTTTATATAATAGTAGATATTATTCTTCAATTTCACATGCTTGAGCTGAAGCTTTTTATTTAAATTTTATCTGCTTTATAGTTGGGTGTTATTTAATTTATTGACATCTATCTATTTCGTACTACATATTAACTTCTTACTAATTCTATAATCGAAAGAGGCAGAAGAAGTAATAGTTAATTTTGGTATTGATAGATGTTAACCTATATTTAGTGACATCTAGCTCATATATGTTAAAATTGGTTCTACATTTATTTGTAATCGAAAGAGGCGAACATTGTAGTAATCAGTTATAACAAGTAGGGTAACCGAAAGGGACTTACTAAAAAAAGAGCATGCTTTAGTTCAAGTATATATTTATGGTTCTTTAATATTACCATTTTAACGATTAATTTGTATAACCGATAGAAGTGCATTTAATTGTTCAACTATAGTAATAATATATAAATGTAATCGTGAGAGGCATTTATACATTTGTGAGAAATAGAAGTTGAAGGATAAATGTATCTACTATATAATAAAAATATTAAGTGAAGTCAGAATCCCAACACCTTTTTATTATATTTGTGAAGAATAAAATATTTTCTCCATTCGTGCATTATTTNCATCATCACCGACGCCCTCTCCATTTGGATACTCGTCATCGTACCAAGCATCCGGCTCAATCTCGTCCAAATCCTCTTCGTTCTCATCCATCCCGGACGTGTTGGGGTCATAGCCACAAGCGGCACGAGCATCCTCAAACTCCGCCTCAGAAACTTTTTTGGCCGCCATCAAACCCCTGTATATGTCAAGATGAGCCTTATCATGGACCCACTTCTCATACAAGTCTTGTGGGACATTGGGATAAGTGGAAGCATGAGAGTTAGACGGCTGAGCCTGCTACTGCACTTTCTCGGCATTGAGGACGACTATCTGCTCATTCAACTCTTGGACGTCCCCTTCCAGTCCACCTATCCGCTCTTCGAGCCTCGCCTATTTAAGAGCAAAGGTCTCTACTTCACCAGCCCGTTCTGATCCGAGGACGCGGAGGGTGCCCGCTAGTGCCGCAGTCTGCCACCGTGGCCATTATGGCTCTCTCTCAATCCGCTCTAACTTCGCAGCTTTGGCAGCCAACTCTCTCCTTAAGTCGTCAGATATGGCCTCACTCTGCTCAAGCTCAGCCCGTAAGGACGTCATCTGAGCTTGGAGGTCGACACATTTGACCATGACCCCCTTGCTCACCTCTAGCTCATCATTTTTGATCCTCAACGTCTCTTCGAGCTCGTTGCACCTGCCAATAACCCGCATGAGCTCATCATCCTTATCCTTCAACTCCTCATTCTTCTTTCTCAGGTCATCATGAAGAATTGGGAACCAATAATTCTTGCTAATCATGCAAACC